AATGAAGGTGGAACTATTTAATTACGTTCAAAAAAAATTTATGGAACAGCCGACGGATTATCATCTCGATAAATACATGAGAATAAACGAAAAACTAATTGGAAATCATTTAATTGGGGTTTCGTATTACTGTCTCGGAAATCGATTTGTTACCGATTTCTTATTAGATTACGCAAATAAATTTATATTAAATATGACGTATTCAAATAAAAAATATTGGAGTTTTTTTTGGGCAACTGCATTGACTCACGATTATTTAAACGTACCGTCGAATAACGACATGTCTTTTTTAAAAATTTTCAAATCTCTGGTCAATAATAACGTATTAAATAACAGTATGGTAATATTGATGAGCGATCACGGATTAAGATGGGGATCGATTCGTGAAACTTTTTCTGGACGATTAGAAGAACACATGCCTCTTTTATTAATATTTTTACCGGATTGGTTTAAAAAAAAATACAAGACAGCGGTGAAATACATGAGAGAAAATGCATATAAATTAACAACTCATTTCGATCTACACGAAACAATGAAAGATTTACTTAATTTAAATAATTTCAAAGAGGAAAATTTAAATGATAGAATATTGAAAACTCGGAAAGATAGAGGAATCAGTTTGTTTCTTCCCATACCGGAAAATAGAACGTGCGAAACCGCCGGAATCGGCGTGTCCTGGTGCACGTGCAATCAAATTAAAAAAATATCAATCGGGAATAGAAATGTTAAAAAAGCTGTTCAAGTCTCGGTGAAATATATAAATTCACTTTTGAAAAATTACAATCGTTGCGCTAAATTAAAACTCAGTAAGGTGAGAAGCATCAAATGTTGTTATTATCATCATTTTGTTTTAATCATTATTATTATTATTACTATTTGATTTATAGATATTATCGGCGAGTTTAAGTTCAACGAACGAAGATTTGGTTATAAAATCAAAAAACAAAATATCGGATTTTATCGTGTCTTTTTTAACAGAGCCCGGTTATGGAAAATTCGAATCGACCGTACGTCATTTAACGGATATAAATAAAATGTCAGTCGTAGGACACGTTGCAAGAATAAATTCTTACGGTGATGAAAGCAAATGCATTTTTAATGAAAATTTAAAATTGTATTGTTTTTGTATATAACTTACAAGAGGTTAAAACGGAAGAAGAAGAAAAAGAAAAAGAATTTTCACTCGAATCTTTCTCGAAATCCTTTGATTTAAAAAAGTCGGAAAATTGTTATATCACTGTTTTTCTTTCCCCCCCCCCTCCACCCTCCTGTTGTCTCTCTCTTCTCGTTAATAATTTTTTTAATGTTATACGTAAGTAAATAAAAATTGAAATTTAAAAATAATAATGATAATAATAATAAATTTATTTATTTTTTTTACACGTTTTAATAATTATTTAATTTTTTTTTTTACAGAAATTTTATCGACGACTATTAAAACCCGAGTTTATTGTTTTCATTTATTAAATATTTTGAAATAAATCGAGTTGCGAAATTATTATCTCACATAATAATAATAATAATAATAATAATAATAATAATAATAATGATGATGATGATGATGATGTTGAAAAATAATTGTTGGAATGTTATGTTTGCTCAACGTAAATTTTTTTTCATGACGTGTTTTTTCTAATAATAATAATAATTAATTAAAAAATAATTTTCAATTTTTTTTTTTTTTTTATATTGTATAAAATGAAAAATGATAATAATAATAATAATATTAATAATAATTGTAATTATGCAAGTATTTTTACAAAGAGTAGAAAAAATCATTTTATTATGATTGGATTTAAAAAATTAAATGTTGTTTTAAAAAAAACAAATTCACAACAATAATTACCTATTATTATTATTATTATTATTATTATTATTATTATTGCAATTTGTTCTATTCTCTCATTGAGAAAGACAGAGAGAGAGAGAGAGAAACGTTTTATTGATTTTTTGTGATAAAAAAAAAACTTCAAAAAAAAAAATAAGAAGAAAATGTTTATATTTTTAATATGTTAACATTAAAAAAGTTTTTTTTTTTTTTTGTCAAAAATGTTGTTTAATTAAAAAAAAAAGAAAAAGAAATTTCGTTATAATATTAATTTTATTTTATTTAATTAATGTAAAAAGTATTCCGTTTATCGATTTATAATATATAATATATATATATATATATATTTTTTAGAAATAATATAAAAAAAATTGGAAGGATTGCGTGAATTTAGTCAGTATATAATATATTTTAACTTATCTGTCAATTGATATCGATCCAAGAGAAAAGTTTTCATTTATAAGAAAAAAAAAAAAGCAAATAATTCATTGCACGTCACATAATAATAATAATAATAATAATAATAATAATCAGAGAACTTTGGATTTAAAATAAAAATATTAATGAACAAAAAGTTATATATAAGAAAAAACTTTGGAAAATTTGGATGACACAGGTTAATTTCGAAACACGCCTTCCTTCCCCCTTCCCCCTTCCCCCTTCCTCCTCCCACAATTTTTTTTTTTTAATAAATAATTTTAAATTATAAATAATAAAATTAAATTTATAAAAAAATTTTCATTATAATTTATTTAACTTTATATTTTAGACAGTACGAAACAATAAGGAAAATGATTGTGATTAATACAAACAAACAAACAAACAAACAAACAAACAAACAAACAAACAAACAAACAAGGTGAATAAATTACCGACGGTATTATTATTGACGGTATTTTTCAATATTCTCCCTATCGCGTTAATTGGGTTTTGTTTAGGGAAACAAGTAAGTGATTGATTGATTGATTGATTGATTGACTATTTTTAATATTACAAAAGGTTTATTTTTTTTTTTTTAGAATTCAATCGAAAAATTTTTTTCATTCATTCATTGATATGGATTTAAAATAATAAAAATTTTTAATTCGATAACCGGAAATAGTGTACAGTTTTAAAAAAAGGCGCGAAAAATATTTAAACAAAAAATTTTTTTTTTCCGCTACGGATATGAAACGGATAAAAACGTGCCAAAAAAAAAATGAAAATGAAAATGAAGAAAATGAAAATTTACCGAAAAGTTTTTTTTTTATTACATAGGGGAAAAAGGGATGTTATGAGGAAGAAGTGGGGAGGGGAATTTAAAAGTGAGGGGAAAGGGAAGGGATAAAGGAGGGAAGTCACGGCGCGGTATTTTATCGCGAGGTAAAACATTTTCACAACAACATGGCGCTGCTGTAGTCATCCAAGCGTTTGTCAATCTTAAAAATCCGGACAGTGTAACTTGTAACGCGGCGTCGAAAGGAAGGAACGGAATCGTTACAAATTTTATTCAAATAAAAAAAAAAAAAATATCAACGAATTATCGAGTTTTTCCGGGTTAAATGTGAATTAAATTTTTATCGAAAAGTCGGTGGAAAAAGTAAAAAAAAAAATTTATGTGATTTTTACCGCAGGAAAAACAACGAAAAAAAAAAAACAAAAAGTTTTTTTCTCTGATTTTTTTTTCTCGGTTGTTGCTGTTGCTGTTTTTTATTTTCATTTTTTTTCGGTTTTTTATTCGGTCTATCAAAACGAATTCGTTAATATTTGCGTGAGTTTTTGGTTTTTTTTTTCGTTTCGTTTTGTTTTCGTTTTTTTATTTATTTGATTGTTTTTCCTTTTTTTTTTTGTAACCGTACTCAATTTTGAAGTTTTCCGGGGAAAAAAAAAAAAATTTCAAGTGTTTATTGAAAATTTCAACATGTTGGCTTTTGCCCTTTTTTATTATTTCATGTGAAAATTTTGTTCGTTCGTTCGTTTTCGGTTTTTTTTCCGGTTTTAATCAGTGAATTTTAATTACACGTAATAGTTTTTTTTTTTTTTCGTTTTTTTTTTATCGTTATCAAAATATTAAATTTAAAAAAATAATTATTAGTGTAACTACTAATTCTACTACTACAATCACAACAACAACTACAACTACAACAGCAACCTCGACTAAAAAATTATCAACAATCATGAAGAATCAAAGTAAATTATTATTATTAACAACGTTGGATTCAATATTCAAATTATCAATTTTCGTCGGTGGATTTTTATTATTCATCTTTCAAGGTAAGATTTTCTTTTATTTTTATTTAATAATAATAATAATAATAGTTTTTATAATTATTATTATTATTATCACCATGACAGACATTAACAAAAAAAAAATTTTCAACACGTTAAATTTAAATTTTGTTTTTAATCGCATAAAAAAAAAAATTTTCCCCTTCGTTTCCGGTTTGTTTTTCCGTTCGTTAAAAACAAAAAAACTCAAACGATGACGATACGTTTAAAAAAATAATAATAATTAGAAACGTGTAGAACGTTCGGGAGGGAAAATCGTTTTAAGAAAAAAAGAAAACACGTTGAAAATTTTTTTAAAAATTTTATTAATAAATTTATTTTAAATACCGTTCGGTTTTTCAAAAAAATCGAACGTTTCACCGTTCGGTTGAAAGATGGAATTCGAACGTTTTTTGAAACGGAAAAATTTAAAATCTAAAAGTTTTGAACGTATATATATTACGAAACAAACGCATGTTCGTGTAGCGCCGTTCGTTTCAAGGTCTAAACCGTTCGTACAAACATGTACGAACGAACGAACGAACAATTTATGTATTATTTATTTATTAATACGGGGAGAATATAACACACATCCTGGCCTAAATTTTTTAAAATGATTTTATTGTTGTTACTATTATTATTATTATTATCATTACTGTGTGCGTAGCCGTAAAAAGAAATTCATTTGATTTTTTTTTTTTCACGAAACATATTATTATTATTATTTGTTAAAAAAAAATTTGTTATTTAATAATTTAGATAAATTTAAAAATCGTAAGAATTAAAAAAAAAAAAAAAGATGTTTGTTTGTTCGTTTGTTTGATTTTCAATTGTCGTTGTTGTTGTCGTTGTCGTATCAGAAGGTGAGATTCCCATGTTTTGTCTACTTGTTGCTCAAACGAAAAGAGTTTAAGTCTCGTTTTTTTTTTTTTTTTTTTTTTTTTTTTGTTAAAACTTGATTAAAGGTCAGTTTGTTTGTTTGTTTGCGTTTGTGTCGGTTTTTCATGTGTATGTGTGAATTTAATAAAAATCACGTGACACCTTCGTTTTATAAAATGAATAAAACGGTTTAAAAATTTTTTTTTTTTTTGATTGTTGTAGAAAATGGGAAAAATGTGTTAGAAATTTTATTCGTATCTCATTTGGGAATTTCGTTTTTTACCTTTAATTATTATCATTATTATCGTTAAAGGTTATTGAGTTTGTCGGGCGGGAAAATTATTATAAAAAAAAAAAAAAAATTTCCCGTATAAAAAGGAAAAAAGGAAAAAATTTCATCGTGTGTGTAATGTTGGTAATTTTTTTTTTAGTGGAAAGCACGTATACGCACGTCATACATCATCATTCACTAGAAAACGTATACGTCACTACAATGTCATAAAAAAAAGAGAAAAAAGTTTAAATTGGTGACGTCAGATTCGTTTTTACCCCCCCTTTAAAATAAAGAGAGAGAGAGAGAGAGAGACAATGAATGTATTTTAAGAAAATGAAATTACTGAAGATTATTATTATTATTTTTTTTTTGTATAAAATAAAATATGACTGGTTTGACATTGTCAGAATTAATTAATCAAGTTCTTAATGAAAAGATACAAAACCAATAACGCGTGCCCCACCCTTCCCTCCCCTCCCCTCTCCAGCTTTTTATTAATATTATAAAAAAAATATTTTTAATTTAGGCTCGAATGCTAAAAAAAAAGTTTTAAATTTTCTTCGAAGGTTTATTTGTAACGGAAATAATAATGTTTCGATTGGCGTGTGCGTGAGTGCGTGTGAATGTGCGTGCGTGCACGTGTGCATCAGGGTTGATAACAGTTCGTTGAAATAAGATTAAAAAAAAAAATTTTCTTTCAAATTTCATTTTATTCGATTTGATATAGGTTTGATATTTACACTTAAAATCGTATAAAAATTTTCCTTGTATTGTTTTGTTGAGTGAAAGGAAACGCAGACACTCAGACAGGCAGACAGACAGGAAGCAACAAAAATTTTATTAACGACGGAAGCAGGTGGAGGAAGGAGGAGGAAGACAAGGTTTGTTCGTTGCAAAAAAAAATT